TTCCTTTATAAGTGGTTCAGAGTTCTGGGACCATCCTCTGAGCCTGCTTGGTCTATTATTCTGTGTTGTCACTGACAGAGCTCCTCACTGCACTTCCACCGTATCCTCCATCTTGTTTGTTCTTTCCATATTTGCTCTTGAACATTTCAAAGAGGTCTTTGACAACAGATTTGCCTAAGGCAATATGTTGTCAATTGATTTCTTAATACTGCTTCCATGAGCATTGATTGTGGATCCAAGAAAATTGCAGTATTTGACAACTTGCATCTTTTCTTCATTTGTTGTGATGTTATTTATTGGTTTGTTGTTGAGTGCTATTGAGTTGGTTCCAACTCATAGGGACCCTGTATCAGTTTTTCGAGGAACTGCTGACTGGTAGGTTTGAACTACTGACCTTTGGTTAGCAGTCCAGTGTTTATCCCACAGCACAACACCAGAACTCCTATTGATTGGTCTAGTGAGCATTTTTATTGTCTTTACATTGAGGTGCAATCCATACTGAGGGTTGTAGTTTTTGATCTTTATCAGTATTTCAAGACCTCTTCTCTTTCAATAAGCAAGGTTGTGTCATTTGCATATAGTATGTTGTTAATGAGTCTTCCTCCAATCCTGATGCCACGTTCTTCATATAATCTAACTTCTTACATTATTTTCTCAGCATACAGATTTAATAAGTAGGGTGAAAGGATACAGCCTTGATGCAAACCTTTCCTGATTTTAAATCACTCAACATTCCTTTGTTCTGTTTGAACAACTGCCTCTTGGTCTACTTACAGGTTCCTTAAGAACACAAATTAAGTGTTCTGGAATACCCATTGTTTACAATGTTACCCATAGTTTGTTATGATCCACACAGTTGAATATCTTTGCACAATCAATGAAACTCAAGTAGCCATCCTTCCGGTATATGCTGCTTTAAGCCAAGATCCATCTGATGCCAGAAGTGATATCCCTCATTCCATGTCCTCTTCTGAATCCAGCTTGAATTTTAGGCAGCTCCCTGCTGATGTACTACTGCAATTGTTTTTAAATTATCTTCAGCAAATTTGTACTTGCATGTGTTTGATGATTTATGCATTCTGTTCAGTCACCTTTCCTTGGAATGGGCACACATATGGCTTGCTTCCAATTGGTTGTCTAGGTAGCTATCTTTCAAATTTCTTGACATAGATGAGTGAGTGCCTCAGGTTCTGCATGTTTGTTGAAAATTCTCAATTCGTTTCCTGGAGCCTTGTTTTTCACCAATGTTTTCAATGCTGTTTGGACTTCTTCCTTCAGTATCATCAGTTCTTGATCATATGGTACTTCTTCAAATGATTGATATTCTGCCAATTCTTTTTGGTACAGTGACTCTGTGTATTCCTTTCATCTTCTGACTCATAACACAGTACAGAGTTTCCAAGACTATAAATCTTTACTGGAGAAGAAAGCCTCACCTTTGAGGATGGGCTTGTAGGTTTGAGCTGTGACTGGGAATAGGACTTTTGAAATCTTGTAAGCTGAGCTCTATGCTTTCTCAGACCCCTAAATGTTTGGTGTTTTCTGCCCAGAGGAAGACTGCCACATCTTTCTCCTGTGGAGTAGCTGGTGGTTTTGAACCTCTGACCTTTTGGATAATAGTCAAGAGCTTAATCACAGTGCCCCAGGGCTTCTTACCCATACATACAAGGTTTCAGTTATATCTCCATCCACCAAGAGCTGGCCTCAGTGAGAATGTGTTGATGGTATAGGCTGATAGGCCATAGGCATTGAGAAACAGGTTCTGAGGGGTTCCCATGTTCCTTCCACGCTTACTTTTTGTGTCTGGACCTCAGGCTCAGATCTTCAAGACATCTAGTTCCTGGGTCACATCTCCTTCTCTGCCCTCAGCACAGGGCTCTTCCTGGCTCCTTGGTCTGAAGACCTGCAATTCCAATCTGCTAGCTACAGGACCAGCTTTATGGGTGAATAAGCTAGGCAGCACACAGTCCTGTACTTAGAAAGGCCTCATGACTGGTTTCATGCTCTGCTGCCACTTGCTTGAAATGATTTTTAACAAGGGCCCCACATTTCCATTTTGCACTGGGCCCTGCAAATTATGTAGCTGGTCCTGGCCAGAGCTCTCAACATGCCATGCTTCAAGGGTGAACATTGGCTCCCAGGCCCAGCACTTTCCAGGATGGCAGATGGGTGGTGGTTTTCATTGTTCTCTCCCACTCCTGGGCCACGGATGTTGTGAATACACTCTAGTCTTCCGTCCTTGGTGTGTGATAGATGCTGCCGTTAGTGTGTTACCCAGGCACCTTTACGCAGCTAGTGAACCCAATTTTTCTTTTTGGCTGGTGTGACAATAGAACCCACTAGCCTGGGGAGTTACTCTACTCCCACACCAATGACTAAATGATACAGGGAGTCAATGCCTGAGAAGGAAAAATTGCTTCTTCAGAGTCCTTCCCATCAGACCCTGGGCTAGGCTTTTAGATTCTATCCCTACTTAGCATTTCACCTTCCCTACTCAGTAGCAGCAGCAATGGGCTAAAGCATAGCCATGTTTTTGAGGCGTAGGACTGAGCAGAATGGTGTTCTATTGTGCATAGGGTCACTGTGAGTGCTGACTGACTTGATGATACATAACCACAACACTCAGCTTCACTCCTTTTAAGTGGACTCACTAAAAATATCACATGTGTCCTAATGCTTGTCTAAGACAGTGGCCTTGACTTCAGAATCTTTTCCAACACAGTGCACCAGGCAGCCACCTATTTTGAGATGCCATCTCAAGCTCTCTGACAGATAAGGTAGTCCCCGAGGGTATTCCAACCCAAATCTGCAGTCTCTTGTCCATCTGGCAAGCCAGTCCCAGCAAGAAAGGGAGTCAGTTCATAGAAGGCCAGTCTGAACATCATCTTGCTCAAACGAAAAGCATTCAGAACCACCTTAGACTCTCCAATTTTATTATAGGACATATTGGGGACAAGAGAGGGAAGTGGCAGAGGGGGCCACAAGAAGGCAGCTGGGGACCTCATCCACCATGTCCCTCAAGGCACAGTAGGGGACAGGCAGAGGCATGGGATGAGGATGCAGAAAGCCTAAACAATCACTACCTAAGTGTGACAGTGGGGCAGGCTGGAGGTCACAAGACAGGTTCAGCTCCATGTGGACTCAACCAGCCTGGAGTGGGAAGGGGTGAGAGCTTGCTGGTGTGGGGGCTGAATCCTGCTGCCACTGGGTGGCTCCTACCAGCTGAGACCGAAGCAGATGCCCCACCTCTCTGTAAGGAATCTGAGTAGCACCGTCTCCCAGGACACAGCCTGGCTGAGCTGGCTGCCTCACTGATCTGAGAACAGGGGCCGGAGACATAGTGGTTTCATAGGCTTTTCTTTCCACTGCAGAGAAAACAGGGAGGGGGAAGAAGTTGGGATCGGGGGAGGCAGATAAGAGTGTAAAACAAAATACCGCCAAAATAAGACACAGGTTTTGGAGTCACATGTGAGCTTGAATCTAACATTCTGAATCATCTTGGGCAAGTGACTTCGCTTCCTTTGAGCCTGAGTTTCTTCATCTACAAAATGGGGACACTTCTCATCCACCTCAGAGGTTTGCAGGGAGGATGAAATGAGAAAATAAGTGCAATCTCAGTCAAGTGCCTCAGCTCTTGATAAATGGCTACTATCATTATAATTCAATATAAAATTGAGACCAAGATGAGCACGAGGTGGAGGCTTCTAGGGCAGATGGGGGAACTGGCAGATGGGAGATGAATGCTTTCCTTCCTCTGTTGGGTGTAAGAGGCCCTGGGCTGGGAGCTGGGGGTGTGGCTTGGCCTCAGATGCTCCCTGGGGCCTGAGTGGAGGACAAGGAGAGGACTGAGGGTGCATGACCCTCTGAGGAATGTTTTTAAAAAGAAGAAGAGAAGGAAAAGGAAGATTTCTTCCCAGAGGTGCAACTGCAAAGTCATCAAGCTGGGTCCATCTAGGATTTCAGATCCAGCCGTCATGGGGCGGCTGCTAGGAGAAACCATTGCTCCCTTCTTTCTCCTCCACACTGGGGCTATCAAAAATACATACTGTCAAACTGCACATAAAAACACTTTTCGGCATGCTTAAAAAAGAGACTGGCTGTGGTCAGGGCTCAGGATGTGAACTGAGGCCCCAAGAGTGACCAAGGAGCATCACTGGCCATTAGATGATAGCTATGCTGGTGAGGCTGCGCTGGATGACCAGGACAGCATGGGTTCTGGGAGGGGCTCAGTTCTTTGGCTGGACTGGACTTCTAATAGAGATTGAGGAGCAGGAGGTATTTTGAGGAACAAGACAGTGGGGTACGCTGACTCTGGGCCTCAGGGACCCACTGGTGGGCTGCCTTGCTAAGAAAAGAAGTCTATTACTTCTTCCCTACAATAAATGTCCCCAGGCAGCTGTCTCCTGTCATAATAGGTTCCTGGGGCCTCATCATTAGGTCAGCCTTAGTGATGAGCCCCAGGCTTGGGGAGCAGCTGAGGGTGCAGTATAACTTCCACTTCTGAAGGAGCGAATGTCCCTGGTTTTGCCCAGAGCCTCCAGAAGGCTGGGGACATTGGGCACAGGAGGGCAGCCAGGGGTGTGGCCAGGAAAGAAGGCTCCAGTCACACCACAGTGGTTTCTTGGCAGCCTGGCCCCCTGGACCGGGACTTCTTGATTCATCTTTTTGGGGAATGGGATAAAAGTAAGAAGAAAGGGGTAGCCCAGTCTCCCTAGGACCCATTCTTCCTGATCCTTTACCCAGCAAGGGCCTGGCCTATGACAGAAAGGTGAGGTCCAAGGTCACGTGGGTGGCAGCCTAAGCTAGAGGCTCACTACCCTTCCATCCCCCTGACCAACCCAGGCACCTTGCGTCTGCCCACTGTTACCACACAAAGCTGGATGACCACCCTTAGGTGACCTCAGAGCCCACAAGGCTGCCCAAGAGTGGGGTGGGGGTGGAAGTGTCTGAAGTCTGAAATGTGCTGAGGTCCACTCTGGCTCTAGCTCCTGGTGGACACACTAGGGCTGGAGGAGGGGCAGGCCTCGCCGGAGACCCTCCTTCAGGAACTGCATGTAGGTAGCAGTGGATGGGTCTTCAAAGGTGGATGAGAAGCTGAAGGCCTTGCTCTCGATGTCCTCAGGTTTCATGGAGGTGATGTCCAGGAAGTAGTTGGCGTTGATATGGTGAACCTGGGAGGAGGGTGGGGAGGAGAGAAGGGAGGGGCCACCTCAGCTCAGTGGCCCCATTTTTCCCTGCCCACTCATGCTTTTGGGGTGGTGGCCACTCTCCACCTAGGCTCTCCTTGCTTCAAGAGGATTGAAGCTACAAGCCCTTCCAGAACTCAACCCAAGGGCCAGGCTGCTCCTGTTGTCCAGGTGCTCACTCAGGGCCCTCTGACCACTGGGTGGAAACCTGACAGCTTTTAATATCATGCTTGCTGCTGCTCCTCTCACTTTGTTGTGTTATTGTTGTTGTTCAGTGCCATTGAGTTGGTTCCGACCCATAGCGACCCTGTATAGGGTTTCCAAGGAGCAGCTGGTGAGCTTGAACCGCCGACCTTGCAGTTCAAATGGCTTTATAGTCTGACGCATTAACTAAAGTCGAGTCAGACTCACAGCGATCCCACGTGACACAACACAACTACCCCATGGGATTTTCTAGGTGGTCATCTTTACAGAAGCAGATCGCCAGGGCTTTTACCCACAGAGCCACTGGGTGGGTCTGAATCAACTACCTGTGGTTAGCAGCTGAGTGCCTAGCCATTGTGCCAGAGGTCTCCTTACTGCTTGTTAGCCTTTGCCTGCTCCCTCCTGCTCCCTCAGAAAACAACAAAAAGCAAATCCCTATCTCCTCAGTTCCTTTTGACTCCTGAACTCCAAATGTCCAGACACTCCACAGGCCTGCTGTTCCATCTCCCTTCCGGCTCCTGTCAGTGGGTTCCTGAAGGGCAGGGCCTGGGGCAGAGAGCGTGTCCAGAAAATGGACACCTGAGCAACCCAAGAACACACACTAGAGGGGCGTGTCATGGCCCATTGGCTCATCTCAGTGGCCCCACAGCCTCTGAGACCCTCTGTCTCCCTGCTCTGCTCCTTCCATCCTGGCTGACAGAGCTACTGAGAGTCTTGCCTTTCAGGTCATGTTTCTGTCCACTGCCCCTGTCTGAGCCATGTGGGAAGGTGTTGCCTGCACCCATTGCTATGTGGCCTCCAAAGTGCTATTGTGGCCCCCTTTGAGTGGAAGCTTCTCAGTGCTTGCATGAGCAGGTAGACTGGGCATTACAATCCGTATTTTAAGAATAACCGAGGATAATTGGGGTCCCAACGGATAGAGACATTAGCTCCCGGCTTGATAGCTCCGAAGTGGTGGAGCCAGTCCAAAGCCTGGTGAGCTCTGCCCCTCTGCGCCTGGCCGGACGAGGCTTGGGACAGGGTTGCTTACCACAGTGCCATTGGGCAGGCAGATGATCATCTCCACGGGGAAGCTGTACTTCTCCAGGTGCAGGCCAGCCAGCTTCTTGTGGGATGGGTTCTCCTGGCTGTTCTGTGGGGACAGTTGGGCACGTTCCTGATAGCTCAGTCCCCACCACTGTACTGTGGCTTCTCATGAGGACCCTGCCTACCTGCCCACTCACCTGCAGCTCCTCCAGCTCCTTCACCAGCGACCAGGTGCTGATAAAGCTCTCGTTGAGGAGGGTGAGGATGGGCGAACTCTCCAGGACAGTCTCCCGGAGAGTCCGCCCTGAACCTGCTCGGAGAGAGGCCAAGGTCAGAAGGGGCAGTGAGGCATGTCCACATGTCCTACCAGGGTTCTCAGTCAGCAATAATCTTGCTTTGGGTAAACTTCATGAGTTGTGGATTGGTCTCTGTAGCCTGCCCCAAAGTAGGCTGTGATGAACAACAATAAAGTGGACATCCTGGGCTAAGATTTGGGGTAAGGCTCGACCTAACTCAGGGACTTATATACATAATGACAGCTTCTTACATCCATGGAACTCTGCACCCCAGGGCATTTGTACAGACTCTTCCCATTATTTGGAACCCTCTCCCTCCTGTCACTTTGACAAACTCCTACTCATCCTTCAAAGTCTCATCTTAAATGTCCTCCCTGGTTCCCCTAGTTACACACTCTTGTGGGCTCCTGGACCTTGTGACCACACTTGTGATTACTCTCTGTCTGGCTCCTGACTTCCTGCCTGCCTGGGGCTGCACATGGCAGCTGCCAAGAGTGTGTCCGACGAGTGGCTGGGTGAGGTCATCCTGTACCCACTGCTGGGTACCCAGAGAACTCTGCACCTAGCAGGTCTTGGGTGCACTTTCTGAGTAAGTGAGTGTAAGCCCAGCGCTGGAGGCTACTTCTTGTCTTACCGAGGACACCGCTTCACAGAGGACCGGCACTTTCTCCCCTATTCTTAGTTGTTAAGTGCCATTGAGTCAGTTCTGACTCATAGCAACCCTGTAGAGAGTTTCTGAGGAGCGGTTGGTGAGTTTGAACCACTAACCTTGTGGTTCCAACAGACCTTGCAGTCCAGTGCTTATCCTCTAGTGCCACACCAGGACTCCCTGTTCTCAGTGGGTGTGGCTATGCACCTGCTTTTTGCTGTTGAGATAACAGACTCAGGATGGACAGTGGAGCTGGAATGAATCTCTTTCTGCATCCAGTAGCTTCTTCTGAGCTCATGCAGAATTCCCCCTCCCCACCCAATCCTCACCCCACCCTATGTATGTAGTTCTAAATCGCTCATGGCTGGGAGCCTCTTGTGCTCCTAAAGTGTGAAGTCTCCCCGTACTCCCTCCAGGTATGGTCGGGCTCCCTCACCTCAGCAGGACTGATCATCCAGGGCCCCCCACAGCAGGATCGAGTGCACCAGTTTGTTTTCAGCCTTGGCTCGGTCGAAGGCCTCAGTGAACGGCAGGTAGCTGACCTGGGGCCATGCCAAGACAGAGACAAGTCCACATGCCCTTCAGGGGCTCTGAATGCACAGAGTGCTTGTGTGTGTGTACGTGCATGTGCACATGGCAGGAGGTGGGAGAAGCTGGATCCTGGAGGGAGAGACCCTCAGCAGTAAGCTGTGCACACATTCCAGCACCTGTGTGCCCACCTAGTGTCCCTCCAATCCCAGTCTCAGCACCATGGAGCCTGACTACAGTCCCCTCGTCCAGCCTCACCTTCTTGAAGGGGTACATGGCCACCTCCAAGCGCCGGGTAGCCTCCTCCCAGCTCAGCTCCTGCTGCCATGTGATGTCCTCAAACACAAACTGCAGGGGCTCCCCCGAGGGCAGGTGGCTGTCGATCACATTGCCATCCTCATCCAGAATCACAGAGGGCATTGAGGGGCCCGTGGCCTCTAGCTCCATCTGGGCCAGATGTCAGTGGGTGAGGGGTGTTCTCAGAGCTGTGTGAGAAGACTCATGGGGTCCCTGAGACACCCTCACCTATTATAAAGCTGAGGAGACAGGCCCAGGACAGGGCAGGGCTTTGATCAGGGCTGCGCAGTGAGTCCCGGGAAGAGCCCAAGTGCCTGCCCAGGGCTACTTCCTGAGGCTGCAGTCAGACCCCAAGTACTGTGTATAGGAAAAGGTGGCCTTCAGATACACTATCCTTCACACTAGGTTCCCCAGGCAGCCAGGCTGAATCACACCTTCCTGCCTGGGTATTGACTCCCTGTGTGCTCACCTGGGGTATATAGCCGATGTCCACCTCCATATTGCTGCTCTCACTGGCCCCATACAGCCACTCCATGTCCACGTTGAGAGACCTGGGACATGGATGGGGGTTGGGGGACAGCAAGGGCAGATGGTCATCAGAGCCCACTAACCACAGCCAGGCTTCATCTCATGAATGTGCACAACCTTAGGTCTGGATACAGTCTCTGTCCTATTTCACAGATGAAGGCACTGAGGCAAGGGAGCATTCTGGCTACAGAGGCTAAGCTTCCCCTTAGGGGCACCCAGACATCACCCTGTACTCCTGGAGTTCACAGAGAGCTCTCACATCCCATTGCATGTACTGCACAGAACCTCGTAGCAGATAGACTGTGAATGCCTTGTTGCAGAACACAAAGGGGAACAGGAAAAGCTGCTCCCCACCCTACCCACACAGGGAGCAGATGTGGCTTCCTCTCCCTTCCCGCAGAGGGCAGGGCAGGGCAGGGGCCTCTTGGGCTGAGAGAAAAGGAGGGGAAGTTCATGTTCCATTCCTCCTCCCGCCCAGTGTTCCATGGGGCCCAGCCCAGGGAGGGGAGAAGGCCTACAGCCAGCAACATCTGCCACCAACCCAGAGCACTATCTTCCCTATGGCAGCAGGAAGCCTGGTCTGACAACATGCAATCAGAAGATTAACCACTAGGGGGAGCCCCAGGACTGATTATATCAACTCCGCCTGGTGAGCTAGCTGGGAGTCCCAGCTGCTTGGTCCTAAGACAGGGCCAAGAGCAGCTAGCTGGTGTCAGAGCTGCTCATTTGTTCCTTTCTCCTTCCATCCCACCAGTCCAGGACACCCTCCACTCCAGCTCATCTCAATACACTGGGATGGAGGCAGATGTTCCTGGCTGTCGGCCTCCTTTGAGCCCTGGGCTGGGCCCCATGGAACACAGGAAGGGAGGAGGAATGGAGCATGGATTTCCCTTCTACAGTCCAGGAGGCCCCTGCCCTGCCCTGCCCTCTCCTGGAAGGGAGAGGAAGCCACGTCTGCTCCCTGCAGGGGTGTGGGGGGGCAGCTTTCCCTTCTTGGCTGCCTTGTGGGTGGGACAGGCCAGGAGTTAGTCTAGTATTTGGCAGATGAAGGAACAGGCCCAGAGAGGCCCAGGTCTTGGCCATAACCACACAGCCTATCAGTGCTAAGACTTACTATAGGCCCAAATGTTGTCGCTGTACTGGGTCACTCAAAGCCCAATATTTGGTCATTTGTTGTTGGGGAAGAATCTAAAAAACCTGAAGCTGGGTCTTCTGAGTCCCCGGCACACCACCCCCTCGCGGTGGTTGAGGCTGAGGGGACGCTATCAGTCATGTGCTATCCCTTTATCTAGCTGTTGTTGCTGTTAAGAGCCATTGAGTCGGTTCTGACTGACTCACAGTCACCCTGTATAGGTTTCCAAGGAGCAGCTGGTGAGTTTGAACTGCCGGCCTTGCGGTAGCCCTCCTTATCCCCCAGGTCTCTGTTTGGATGTCAGTTCACAGGGACCAGACCTACACTGGCTCTCCCTAGTGGGGCAGGAGCAGGCTGTGGCTATGGGTGGTTCTGAGGTATCTCTGTTAGAGTATGCAGGCAGGGCGGGTCTGTCTGCAGCTGCACTGGGTCTGGCCTGCTTAGCCTGGGACGTGGAAGCCAGAATGATCATTCTTGCTGATTTTGGGCAAGAGCAACAGCTGCAGGCCCCTCCAAGGAGAGTGGCTCTGGGGAGCAAAGGCAGGGCAGTGAACTGTGGGGACCTCTGGGAACCCCTTGCTCTGAATGCCTGGGATTGGGGAGCAGGGGGCCAAGGCTTCTACCTGTGGTTGGGCACAAAGAGCCGAAAGTCGCGGACATGGGTGGCATCTTTGGAGAGGATGATGTGGCCGGTGAACTGGCCAGGGGAGAACCAGAAGGGGAAGTCAGGCGGCTCGCTGAGCTGGAACTCGGCATGGATCCTGCAGGGGAAGGTGCCCAGCTGTAAAGCAGTCTCCTGCTGGGCCAGAGCCCACCCTCCCGCTTCTTTCCCCAAAGTCTGGGAACTTGGGGAAGGAGGCCAGACTATCCTGTGGGGGAAGGGGAGGAAGGAGGATGTATGGGGCAGGGAGAGTACCAAACCCTCTAACGCTGCCAGCCCTTCAAGGCCCAGTCCACATGCTGCCTTCTATGGAGGTCTCTGTAGGCATGTGGTCTGGCATTATGGCACAATCATGGCACCAGGCCTGTGCTGAGCACGGTCCACACCTACTCTCACCCGAGCCCTTACGTGCCCTCTGAGACAGAGCTGGGTGGAGTGGTGGAGCTGGGGGCTTCCAGTCAGCTCCCCCAAGTTCCATTTCTTTCCTGAGGTTCCCTGGTACCCCAGGCAAAAATGAGGGGCTGCCAGGGCCACTCACCGGAACATCACAGTGTAGTAGAAATCGCTGATGGCAGTCAAACAGGCGACAGCACCCTGGGGAGCAAAGCGGGTCTTCACGAAAGGCCGAGGGTGGAACATGCTCAGGAGCCGGTGGATGATGACCTGAGGAAGGGGAGGGGACACCAGGCTGAGAGAAGTCCAGGGCTCTCTGGTGGGGGGTGGTTCAGTGGGGAACCAGGTGCAGAAGGGGAGGGGCCCTGAGGGAACCGAGTGTGGGCAGAGCCCCAGGTCTCGCCACAGGCTGCCCTCACCTCCTTGCCCTTGGGGGGTGGTGGGTAGAAGCGGTTGTTGGACAAGTAGCCGGTGAAGACACTCAGCTCACTGGGGATGATCCACCAGGGCTCACCCAGCTCCACCTGGCCCCGAGGTGGGAGGAAGGGCCGGAAGTGGCGGGCAGCAAATACTGCGCTTGGTGAGGCTGCGGTGGTCCAGTTGCGGAGACCAGACAGGGCCAGGCGGGAGACCTGGGGCAGGAGACAGTCAAAGTTCAGGGACACTGGCAACCATGATTTGGGGCCACCTGGCCAGTGAGGAGCAATCCCTGGATGATGCAGTTAAAGCATTCGGGTGGCACTGTGGGTTAATGCGCTGGACTACAAAGTCGGTTTGAACCACAAGGTTGGTGGTTCAAGTTCACCAGTTGCTCCTCGGAACCAACTTGATGGTACTTAACAACACTAACCAAATGGCTGGCAGTTCTACTCTACCCAGAGATGACTCTGAAGAAAGGTTGGATGGTGGACTTCTGAAAAATCAGCCACTGAAAACCCCATGGAGCCCAGTTCTGCTGACAGATGTGTTGTCAGAGATAGGGTGTGGCCCATGAGTAGGTGGACTCGCTTGAACCCCAAGCCTGCCCAGGAGCCCAGGATGAGAGGGTGCCTGGGGAGTCTCTTGGCCTGGTGAGGGTCACATGCTTGGCCCTTCCCCTGCCCCTGGGCTGTGTCTGCTTCTTCCCAGTCAGAGGGCTCTTGAGCCACACACCTTCCTGCCTGCATTCCTCTCCAACCCCAACATAAAGACCAAGTGCCACAACCCTATCCTGGCGGCCTCACATCCACACCCAGCCTCACATTCTGCTCCAAACTCCTCTCCAAGTTTCTTCCTCAAGGCTGAAGGCAGAGTTTGCATTTAGAGTTAAGTCTGAGGGAGGGTGGACTCTCCAGTCAGGGTGAGACCCCAGACAGGATGCCTCCTGCTCCAGCACAGCCTGCCCCACACTGGCTGTGCACATATGATGGGTGAGGCCCTGAGTCAGCGGGGTCCTTGCTGTAAAAGTTCTACGCTCAGAAGCTGCACCTGGCCCCCTCAGGGGAGTTGGCCCAGTCCATTACAGCAGTAGCAGCAGGCCCCAGGCCCTCCCAGCCTACCATGCAGCTGGGGCCCCGGCTCAGTGGAAAGCAGGCGGTGCAGGAGGAAGTGCCAGCAGCTCCCAGTGTGTAGGACGCAGGTAGGTTGTAGGTGTGGCCGCAAGGCCCCCCATGCAGAGAGCCAGTTCTGTGAGGCTCCCCCAGGACCTGCGCTTTGCTTGCTGCTACTGGGGGGCGGGGGCGGGGACTCAACTGCTGCCTCAGTTTTAACCACCCCTCTGGGCATGACTACCCAACCCACAGCCACTCCCAAATCTTTCGGTGGAAGGTCAAATCTGTGTTTCAAACCATTTACTGGACCCTCCACCTTAATGTCCCCCAGGTCCTCCCAACTTTAACATGTCCAGTTGTCATTCTTTCCACCAGGCCCGTACCTCTCTGCACTCAGTCCCCAAACACCTGCTGATCTGCCAGATGCTCAGGAGTCACCGTAGCTCCTCCCCACCCCACCCCACCTTCCTTTCCCACTGTCTCTCTGTCCTTCTACTCCATCCCTGTCCCTCCCAGGAACTAGTTAGCCTGGCTCCAAACTCATTGCCTCCTACCTCCTCCCAGCACTCCAGCCACCAGCCTGGGAAGCACAGATCTGATGAGAACCTGCCTACTTCAGAACCAAACCCAAGGCAACTTCCCTTCCAGCCCCACTGGCCAGGATGGTGCCCCCCACACCCACCCTGCCCATGCCTTGGGTTCAGTCCTGGGTTGTGCAAACCTGGTGCTTTCTGCCTCCAGGCCCATGTTCACGTGGAAGCGACAAATCACCTAAGATGTGAAGACTGAGTAGCTGCCCTGGACAATAAGAAAATGCTATTCCTGGCAGACAGGGAACAGCACCTGTGAAGGCTCCCAGTTGGAAGGAAGCCTGGTGATTTAGAAGAAAGGAGGGCTGGGGATGCTCAGGCCCTGAGTGATAGAAGAGTGAGCAGAGGGGCTGCCTTCTCAGGAACCCTCCCACTCCTCAGCCCCCTGCTAGAGCTGGGGCCAGGCTTCATGCTAGGGACCTGGGTGCTCAGATGGGAGCCTAGAGGGAGAGTCTTGCAGAGACAGTCATTATCATCTTTGGAGCGGCTGAGCCCTTCTCTCCTTCAGTCTGTCACCGGTCACTCCCTCTAGGACGTCATCCACACTACCCCCACCCCTAGGCTAGAGGACTTGCTTTTCTCCTGCCTCCACCACCAGACTGTGCACTGGGGAGAAAGGGCAGCATCGTCCAAGACCAGGCAGTGGACACTGGGCAGTTGATGAAGGAAAGACTGAGTGCATACTGCTCCTCAGTTGCTGTGCCCACCCCGCCCACTCCAACTCACCCCCAGGAACCCGTCCTTGCTCTTGGTCATGGTCTCCGGGAGCAGAGGCTGGAATCGGGCCTCTATGGTGAGAGTCTCCTCACTGGGGTCAGGGGGCAGCTCCTCATCCTCATAGCTGGTGGCAGGTGTAGACCCTGAGACACAGATGACACTGTAGGGGGATGCTCTCAGGCTGCAGAGCCCACTTCACTCTGGATGCCCACACTGGCCTAGTGGTCAAGGATACCAGGCTCAGAGCAGGGCAGGATTAACCACTGAAGGAACGTCCAATATGTAACACCTCTTTGTTTTACAATCGCCTCATGAGGAAATAATAATGTGACTACCACCTCTGGTTCACAAATGAGAAAGTGGAGGCACAGAGAGGCCGAGTGACTTCCCCAAGGTCACACAGCTAGGCAGTGGGGGAGTCAGGATTCAAACACGGGCCTGTTTAATTCTAAACCCACAGTCAACCACAGCTCTCTTCCAGGGGAGTGGAGTTTCTCTCAAGGCTTGTGTCCTCCTGGACTGAGCCAGACCAACCTGGATTCAAATCACAGCCCTGTCAACTCAGTGGCAGTATGACTGTTCGCTGGTGGCTTTGTAGAGGAATAAATGAAATAATCTTGTAAAGCACTCAGCTCTGGGTTTATACAGAGTCCACCCAGGATACGCTATAGCTGTCTTCCTAGTAACTGAGGTTTCAAGGCCTCCAGGAGTCCTGGTGTGGCGCTGTGGGTTAATGCGCTAGACTGAAAAGTCGGTTTGAGCTACAAGGTTGGTGGTTCCAGCTCACCAGTTGCTCCCTGGAAACCCTCTACAGGGTCACTATGGATCAGAACCAACTCAAAGGCAGTTAACCACAACAGGGAGCTATAGAGCTGGGGCTCAAACCAAATTCTTTTTTACTCAACCATCCTCCCTCCGGGCCATTTGTGTAGCTCCTGTCTGGCGCAGGGCGCTCTCTCAAACATAATTCCTCTAACTCTAACCTGGGATCTTCCTAGCAGCCCAAGCTGGCTGCAGAAAGACTTTCCTCCATTTGTTCTATGAACAGTCTGCTACCAGCTGCCGGGACCTTCAGCACCAGAGGGAGAAGTTCCTGGTTGGGGTGGGGTGCTGAGAACACATGGGGCCCGGGGTCACCCACCCAGCCCCTAATGGAGGTTGGCTCCAGTTCCTAGGCTTTCTGGGATAAGTCAGGGTTCCTTGACCTGAGTGTCACAGTTAAGTGCTTGATGGCTAACAGAAAGGTCGGTCATTCAGAGGGGCCGGGAAAAACCAGCCTGACGATGTGCTTCTGAAAGTCTTGAAAACCCCATGGTTCTACCCTACACACATGAGGTCACCACAAGTTGGAACCACCTGACAACTATCAACTAGAGCAAGTCCTTTAGCCTCTCTGCTTTTCACACACAAAAAATGGAGACAATGCAACCATTCCTACATCCCTGTCGTGGGGACTTGGTGAAAAACAGATGGCTGTTCAGAGCAGGACTCAGTCATGGGAATCAAAGGAATGAACAAGCAAACGACAGATTCTGGCTACCTCTGGTGGCATGGAAAGAGTGGTTTGGAAACGAGAAGCCCCATTTCGCCCTGATTTTCTGGGTGACCAAGGGCTGCACCTTTCCCCATCTGTATAAGAAGGAGCTCAGATCTCTTCCTGCTCAGAGATCCAAGTCTGTAACCTTCAAGTATGGAGGGAAAGACTAGGAAGACCTAAGGGAAGGAAGCAGCGTGTTTCCAAAGGCGAGGCCACTAGACACACATCACAGAACAAAGCAGGGGGAAGTCTTGGCATGTCTGTACCCCTAAGGCCCAGACATGGTCTTTGACGTTTGTTGATTGACTAGCAGACGGACCAGTTGAATGAATGCATTAAAAGCAGTTCTTAACCAGGAACCCTGATGGCACAGTGGTTCAAGTACTGGGTTGCTAACTGAAAGGTCGGTAGTTTGAACCCACTAACCTTCTATCTGTAGAAGCAAGATGAAGCAGTCTGCATCTGTAAAGATGTGAGCAATTCTAGTCAGTCCTAGAGGGTTGCTATGAGTCGCTGCGGCCTCCAGGGCAGTGGGTTTAATTAGGAGTCAGCAGAATCACCTAGAATGCCCTTTTAAATTACAGACATCCAGACTCCACCTCAGACCTATGCATCTGAACCTTAAGGGCCTAGAATGAGGACATTGTACTTTTAATTAGCACTCCCTAGAGGCTCCTGATGCAAATCCCTGTTATTTCTACATTTGTAAGTCAGTGCAGGGAAACTTTCTGAAACAGAAATCGGCAAACCTCGGAGGAAGGGAACAGTAAAGAATGGGCAGGCTAATTAGCCTGCCTTGTATATTCAATTATTTTATTGTTATCACAGTAATTATTAATAATGATACCTAGCCTTTTATGGGAGTGCTGTGGCTCTGTAGGATAAGCACTCAATTGCTAACCACAAGATTGGGAGTTTGAGCCCACCGGCCGCTCTACAGGAGAAAGATGAGGCTTTCTGCTCCTGCCAGGGTTTACATGCCTTGGAAATCCTACACAGGGTCGTCATGAGTTGGAATCAACTTGATGGAACTTAACAACAACAACAAGCCTTTCACAGTCCTTTGGTTTTTAAATAAAAATGCTATTTCCTGATTTATAAGTAATAGATGCTCATGGTAGACAATTTGTAAACATTTTAAATGCAGACAACTGAAAACACTCATAATTCCTCTAATTTGCCTCTATTTCCTGTTTGGATTTGATTTTTATTTTTAGCCTTTTGATATTCCAATACTTAGTCTTGTTTAGAAGTCCTGGCATAGTGCTGTATGATAAGCACTGGACTGGTAGCATAGTGGTTACAAATTGGGCTGCTAACCTCAAGGTCGGCAGTTCGAAACTACCAGCTGTTCCGCAGGAGAAAGATAAGACTTTCTGCTCTCGTAAAGATGTGCAGGCTCGGAAACTCTGTAGGGTCACTATGAGTCGGAACCGACTTCAGGCTCGGAAACTCTGTAGGGTCACTATGAGTCGGAACCGACTTCAGGCTAGGAAATTCTGTAGGGTCACTATGAGTCGGAACCGACTTCACGGTACTTAACAACAACAACTAACCCCAAGGTTGGTGGTTTAAACCCACCAGCCATTCCTCAGAAACTCTATACAAAGTCACTATGAGTTGGAACTGACTTGATGGCATTAACAACAACATCTTATTTAAGGATCCTTGGTGGTGCTGTGGAATAAGCATTGGGCTGCTGACCTCAAGGTTAGCGGTTCAAATGCACCGGTCACTACTCAGGAGAAAGATGGGGCTGTTTGTTCCTGCAGAGATTTACAGTCTTGGAAACCCTTTGGAGAGTTCCAGTGTCCTGCAGGATCTCTGTGAGTGGGAATCAACTCGGTGGTCCTGGGTTGCTCTTGTTTACACTCACTGTGGCCTTAGAGGTCAAGAAGCAAGGGCTGATTCTCCCCTGCTGGAGAAAAAGATTTATGAGAAACAATTAAAAATGCCCCCAAGCCGAGCAAGCTTTACCAATATGTAATTAAAAGGGAGTTCTCATTCCCTGGCCATGAAAAAGGACAAAGTAGCCTTCTGGGGACGCTCAGAGAAATGCATGCAAAATAACACTAAGAAGTCAAAGTAAATCGACAAGGGGATGACCCGGTCACCTGCCTGTCTGCTTTCATGACAGAACTGACTGCCATCAACCCTGTGACACCTATCTGCTCCAGCCAATTAGCATTTTCCACCTGACCTTCCTCCTCTGCAGTGACAACATGTCGCCGAACCAGCAAGTGGCTAACCTACCTGACACATACCGTGAAACACAGAAAGCCCATCATGCCTTTGTTGTATTTTTATGGGGCCATGAGCAGCTGGTGTCTCTTGTTCTTGCCTTTCCCAACTACTGACTTACCTGCACCAGGCAATTTGGGTAACAAGTTGGTAGCCAAGGTCAGTTCAAGAAATGTCACAAGCTATTACAGGGAAATGGATACAGAGGTTGGAGTGGGGAAGTGGGGCAGGGAGGTAAGCATGTTCTAATTCATTTAGAATGTTTCAGCCCCTCATTAGAGAGAAAAAAAGCTGATTACATCTAGATAAAAATGGATAACAAGAAAGGAATGGAAATCTAATGGCACCTAGGCAATAAGTAATAATAGTAATTGTTGTTGTTATATGCCATTGAGTCGATTCTGATTCATATCAGCCCTACATGACCATAGAATGACCAGTTAGGGTTCTCTAAGCAGCAATCTTTCTAAACTGTAATCTTTTTTCACATGCATTGATAATTACTAGTGACTGGAATGTGAAAGGAAGTTGGAAACAAAAAAGAAGGGTCAGTAGTTGGAAAATATGGTCTTGGTGATAGAAATGACAAGATCACATGACAGAATTTTTCAAGACCAATGACTAATGACTTTTTCATTGCAAATACCATTTTTCAACAACATAAACTATGACGATACACTTGAACCTCCCCAGATGGAATGCACAGGAATCAAATTGACTGCATCTGTGGATGATGGGAAACTCACTGTCAGCAATCTAAACAAGGCCAGGGGCCGGCTGAAGAACAGCTCATCAACTGCTCATATGAAAGCTTAGGCTGGAACATATTACAACAAGTCCGTGAGACCCAAAATACAACCATGAGTATATCACACCTGAATTTAGACACCATTTTAAGAACAAATTGGATGCACTGAACCCTAATGCACCAGACATGGTCCAGGAGGACATTGAGAACATGAAGATCACTAAAAAGACAGGAAAGAAAGATAAGATCAAAGTAGACATCAGAAGAGACTCTAAAATTTGCTCTTGAAGGTAGAGTTGTTATTGTTGTAAAGCGCCGTCAAGTTGATTCCGACCCATAGCAACTCTGTAAGGGTTTCCGAGGAGCAGCTGGTGAGCTTGAACCACCAACCTTGCAGTTCAGACGGCTTTGCAGTCTGACTAGTAGCTAAAACACATGGAAGATATAAGAGAGTAAAAGAGTTGAAAAGAAAATTTGAAAGTACAGCTTGAGAAGACAAATTAAAGTATTATAATGAAATGTGCAAAGACCTGTAGTTCGAAAACCAAAAAGAACACACTCAACATATATCAAGTTGAAAGAATTGTAAAAAAAAATCAAGCCTCAACTTGTATTGAAGGATTTTATGGGCAAAATATTGAATGCAGGAAGCATCAAAAGAAGATGGAAGGAAAAAGAATGCACAGAGTCACTATACCAAAAAAAAAATTGTTTGACATCCAACCATTTTAGGAGGGAGCATACGATCAAGAACTTATAGTACTGAAGGAAGAAGTCCAGGCTGCATTGGTGAAAAACAAGGCTCCAGGAAATAATGGAATTCCAAATGAAAGGTTTCAACAAACGGATTTAGAAAATGTAGAAGACAGTTACCTAGTACAAAGACCATGTGCCCATTCCAAAGAAAGGTGACCTTACAGAACACAAAAATAATCAAAGAATATCATTAATATCCAAGTCCTGGTGTGGCGCTATAGAATAAATACTGGACTGCTAATCGCAAGGTCAGTGACTCAAACCCACAAGCTGATCCTTGGAAACCCTATATAGAATTGTTCTGAGTTGGACCAGACTTGATGGCACTCAACAACAACGTCATTTACATCACAGACAAGTGAAATTTTCCTGAAGATTATTCAAAAATGGCTACAGCAGTACATAGACAGGGAGCGGCCAGAAATTCAAGTTGGATTAAGAAGAGGAGTTACAATGAGGGATAGCACTGCTGACATCAGATGGGCCTTAGCCAAAAGGAGCAAATACTAGAAAGATGTTTGTTTACCTGTGTTTTGTTAACTGTATGTTATAACAAACTACGGATAACATTGCGAAGAATGGGAATTCCAGAACACTTAACTGTGTTCATGCAGAACTTATATATAGACCGAAAAGCAGTCATTCAGATAGAAAAAAGGGATAGTGTGTGGTTGAAAATCAGGATGCACATATCTCGGTCAATGTCCAAGGAAGTGAAGAGAAAGAGGCATTCCCAGAGCCTTCAGTGCATCAGAGCTATATCCTTTCACCATGCTTATTCAATCTGTATGCTGAACAAATAATCTCAGAAATTGGTCTATGTGAAGAATGCCGCATCAAGATCGGAGGAAGGAGATATGCAGAGGACATAACCTTGCTTTCTGAAAATAAAGGGGACTTGAGGGAGACACTTGGTGATGAAGATCAAAGACTACAGCCTTCAGTATGGATTGTACCTCAATGTAAAGAAAACAAAAATCCTCACAACTGAATCAGTAAACAACATCATGATAAATGGAAAAAAGATTGAAGTTGTCAAGGATTTCATTTTAATTGGATCCACAATCAATGCTCATGGAAGCAGTTAAGAAGTCAAATATAGTATTTCATTGGGCAGATCTGCTGCAAAAGACCTCTGTAAAGTGTTAAAGAGCAAAGATGTTACTTTGAGGACTACGGGGCACCTGACCCAAGATATGGTATTCTCAATCACCTCATATCTATGTGAAAGCTGGACAATGAACAAAGAAGACCACAGAAGAATCGCCACATTTGAATTGTGGTATTGGCAAAGAATATTGTGAGTATCATGAACTGTCAAACAAATCTGTCTTGGAAGTATAGCCACAATGCTCCTTAGAAAACAGGATGATGAGACTTGGTCTTTTGAATTTGGACATCATGCTTGGAAAAGCGGAGGGTCAATGAAAAAGAAGACCCTCAATGAGATGAACTGAATGGCTGTGACTATGGGCTTAGACTTGGCACAGTTATGAGGATGGAGCAGGACGATGCGCACGGGCTCACTGAGTCAGAGTCAATTCCATGGCACCAAACAATATAACAATAAACTATAATCTCTTTGGAAGCAGATTGCCAGGTCGCTCTCCCATAGATCTGCTGGGTGGGTTTGAATTGCCAACCTTTTGGTTAGCAGACAAGTGCTTAATCTTCAGAGTTGTGATCTGCTGAGGGCTCCTAGAGCCAGATGGGTTTACACTTTAATCCTGGCTCTACACTTCTCCAGTTGGGCAAGTTGGTTAACTTCCTGCGGCGTAGCCTCCCAAACTGTAACCACAGGGACTATGATGGTATCCATATGCCAGGGTTATTGTAAAGACTAAGGAGGTAAAACACACATAAAAGGAGCTCAGGTGGCATACTGGTTATGAGTCGGGTTGTTAACCTCAAGTTCAGCAGTTTGAAACTACCAGCCATTCCACGGGAGAAAGATGAGGCTTTCTGTTCCCATAAAGATTTACAGCCTTGGAAATCTTATACAAGGTCACTATGAGTTGGAACCGACTCCACGGCACACTACCACCACCAAACACATAAAATGATGAATGTGAACTAGCCACCTTCTTCTCATGGGAGGAGTAGCATGTCCAAACTCCCAGCTAGAAAGTGACAGAGCCAATGAGAAGCCTGTAGCCACCAAAACCCACCATCCTCCATCTAATCCAAGCTGCTGCTTCCCCTTAGTTGTGAAGACACAGCAGCCAAGCGGTTGGGGGCTGGGGGGAAACTCTGCCTTGGGCATCCCTTCCCCAGTCCCCGGTCTCTCCTGGTACCTGTCAGCTTCTCAGCAATGGGTTTGAATTCCTCGGGGCTGATATACATGTCTCGGTCAGTGTCCAAGGAAGAGAAGAGAAAGAGGCCTTCTGTCCCCAGAGCCTTCAGTGCTGAGTCCTGATTGGGAGGAAGGGCACACCTGAGCACCGGTTGGGTTCTCAAGTCTCTCTGATCCCAAATGAGTGGTTTCTTCCAACACCAGGTGGGAGATAATGGTACCCTCATACCCCAACCATTTTTCTGAGGTCTCTCAATATCTCTTTGTCTGTTTGTCCAAATGCCATTTCTGAACTGCCCTCAGAGTCCCCCCAAACTCCTCTCAGTCCCTCCTGGTCCCTGCTTCATTCTGGGCCTCTATCCACACTTCACTCTGTAAGTGCCCCTCCCAGTCTGTCCCAGCTTCTTCCCCAGTCCCCCCCCACCTTCTAACCAGTTCACAGCTTCTTCCCCAGTCCCCCGCCCCACCTTCTAACCAGTTCATGCTTGCTTCACCCTCTTCTCTTGAAGCCCTCCCCACTACCCATTCCAGACTCTCCTGGTTCCAGCTTCATGGCCTTCAGCTGCAGTCCACCGCCCAAGTCACCCCTCTGGACTGGCCTCTCCAGGCCTCATACTGAGCCAATCCTGTCACCTCCTCCGTCCATTCTTCCAATTCTGTCATCCCCTCATCTCACACCAATCCCAGTCCTTCCTGTCCCTTTCTGTCCACGTGCCCTGGAAGTGACACAGCTGAAGACTCGGATTTCCCCCAACAGCTCTCTCCTACTCCTTCATTGACCGGCCATCTTCCCTCTGCCCACTCTGTCCCCTCTGAGCCCTTGGCGGGATCTTCCATCCCCTGTTCCCACTCCCACCCCATCTCTCCCCGATTCCTGGTCTCTCTGCAAGCTGATGGCCGAAGCTTCCAGCCGGCCCTCACACCCCGGCCAACTCCAGTGTCCCTGGTCGCGCCCCTTCTGCTACCCCTTCGCCCAGACCCTCTCCGAGCACGCGCCGGACCTGCAGCGCGGCCGCCTGGGCCTCGGCGTGGTGGGTGTAGGCCCGGGCGGCGGCAGCTGCAGCAGCGGCGGCGAGCAGGGCTCCAAGCAGCGCCAAGGCGCGGACGCGGCGGCC